AACTTACCAATTATATATAGCATTAGAGAAGTCATACTTTCTTTAAGTTTGTTTCTTCTTCTTCTTTTTTTTTTTTTTTTGTATATAGAAGGGAGGGAGGTGAGGAGTGACACATAGTTTTTAATGTAAAGGATCCTATTTACTGTGTAGTAAGAAACTAACACTATGAGCAAGGGAAGTACATGTCAGACAAAGGCCTGGTGGCCTTGTCACCTAATACTTAGTAGTACATCAGGCTGATCGACCCCTCCTTTTGTATAGGCTGTCTTGAGATATTTGTGGGACTTGATTTATACACTTGCAGGTAGTCTGCATGGCAAAGTCTGCTTGATAGGAAAAAAGTTATACACTTGAGATAAGCCAAAGGAGGAACGCTGACTTTGTTACTAATGAGCCCACTGCCACCCTTGCAGCCTGGTTTTCAATTCTCAGTCTCAGAAATAATATAATTTGGGGGCTGGGGACTTTAATTACAGAAAAATTCAATGGATGGATACATGTTGCCTGAAAAAGAAGGCAACTTCAAGATATCCCTTATTTAGCTCTCATCTCCTGTCACATGGACAGTACTTGTTTCATATTAATTGCTAGAGAACACTATGATTTCTGGAACAGTGGGAGGGATTTATTTCATAACACACCAGCATAGCACCTAATTTTTAATTTAATCAAGTAGTTCCTCTCCTTTGTCATAAAGATTGGTTTAGAAAACCCAGGCTAAATCAATCAGCATAAGGCACTTTCTTAGTCCGAGATTGCTTTAGAAATGGGCATAGAACCAAATTTGGCCCAATAAAATACAGCAGAAGGTTTATTTGTAGATTTTGGGAAATAAGTGTTCTCAATTCTAAAATAAAACCACCGAGAGAAGTTCTATTTATTTCTCTTAAGATTGATGCATTTGGGAGACCCAGAAATGTGGATTCTATCTTTCTATGAGCCCAAGGATAAAGCAGAACAAAAGATCAATAGCAGAAAAAAGCAGCTGGATCACAGACGGTGCAGTCTGACCTCTGCTCTGCCTCTCCCTTTGTCTGTAATTTTCAGAGGTTTGACCATGATGTGTCTTGGTGTAAATTTCTTTGGGTTTCTCCTGTTTGTGGTTCCCTCAGCTTCTTGAGTCTATATACTTATGTCTTTTGCCAAACTGGGAAAATTTCGGCCACTATATCTTTGAATATTTTCTCTGATTTTCTTCAATGACTCAGATAATATGAATTTAGATCTTCTGTTATTTAGTCCCATAGGTCCCTGAGACTATGTTTATTTATTTTCTAATCTACTTGGAAAATGGATTTTCTCTTTTCCAGATCCACTAATTTGTAGCAAATTAGCAAATTGCTTTATCATCTTTCAGTTCATTATCTCTTTCCCCTGTCCCTTTCATTCTTCCTCGGAGCTCATCCACTGAGATTTTTATTTCAGTTACAGCTTTGTATATTTTTGTTTTAAAGTTCCCATTTGGCTCTTCTTCTTTATATATCTATATCTTTGTTTAGACTTTTCTTGTGTGTTGTGAACACGTTTGTAAATAGCCTTCTCAGCTAGTTGCATCATGGCTGCCACATTGGTGCTGGGGCTCTTTGTCTCTGCTGGGTGATGGTTGGGTTCTGTTTCCCCAGTAGCTCTCCATTGATACCTGTCTGGCTGGGAGGGGTAGAAATAACTCATGACTGCTGCCCGCATAACCTCCACTGACACCACAGAGTGAGGAGGCGGCTTCATTACCATTGGTAGTGCTGGAAGCCCAGGTCTTCCGTCGGGTCTCCTCCCACACCGCCCTGGTACAGACGGGGAGTGGTGGCTTGCTATTGCCAGCTGTGTATGGAAGGCCAGTCTTCCCAGGAGCCTGATTTATAGCCTTTCATCCCTTACCGCCTTCCCACCCTTTCCCCCAGAGTCCCCAAAGTACCATACTGTTGCCTTTGCATCCTCACAGCTTAGCTCCCACTTCCAAGTGAGAAAATATGATGTTTGGTTTTCCATTCCTGAGTTACTTCACTTAGAATCATAGTCTCCAATGTTTATGTTTTGAGTATAAAATTACTGACAACAAAGAGAATAAAGGGTGAGAATGAGGGTGCTGCATGGATGGATCTGGAACACCCCTGTGTGTCGTCAGAGAGGATGGTTATTGGTGATGAAGTGCGGGGCTCTGAGAGGCATTCTGCCTACTTCTCCCCAGCCCTGGGCCCACCCTGCACACCTCCACCTCGAGCTGATAGTTCCGTCACCCATTTATCCTTTTCCCACTCCCACTCACTTCCGTTCATCCCACCCTGGGCCCAGAGAATCACGGAGTGTCAACTATGGGCATATTAAGCTATATTATTTACTGAATATTAATTAGTGCCATTCTCTACATCTAAAAAGTTTTCTTAATTGTTTTTACAAATTATTTAAATATCTCCTGTCAAGGTGTCCATGATCAATCTAACTAGATGCACTCCGTCCTGTAGTTCATGGCACTACTCTTGCCTTCATGCTGAGTAATGCTTTGTTTGGGTTTTCTTGTACCCACTAGTCAGTTTTTTTTTTTTTTTTTTTAATTAGAGGGCTTAAATAAACATTCATTACAATATATCCTCAGTTGTGATAATGACTAAAGTCTTGCTGATTGAGCAAAGGATTACAACAATTTAAAATGTTTTCTTGAGTTTTGCTCTTCCTTCCTTGACTGTAAACATACCGGTATCTGCGTCCTTACTTTCCTGCTTTGCTCTGGATCCGTAGATGGAAACTCCACTCCTCTGAAGCTCAGGGTTGGCCTTTGCTACACACTTTCACCTTTGGGTCCCCTTTTCTAGAATTTTCCGTCTTTTAATTTTTTTACTAATTTTTGAATTTTTCTCTCCGCACCTTGCCTTCTCAACATTCTCTTATCTTGAAAAACAAAGCCAGGGAAAGAAACACAAACAGACCTTCCCCTCCAGCCTGTTTAATGGATTAGAGGGGGATGGGAAACCATTACAGTAACCCTGGTCCCGAAAGAGGAAACCTGAACTAAGCTCACGTCATTGCAGTTGGGGAAAAGGGAATGGTTTCAAGACGTATTAAGCAGTTTCTCTTCTAGCTGACAAGTCTCTATGATTCTGCTCTCTTACTCTTTCTTTATATATACATATATATATATATATATACAAATTTTTTTTTAAATTGTACTTTAGATTCTGGGGTACATGTGCAGATCATGCAGGATTGTTGCATAGGTACACACATGGCGATGTGGTTTGCTGCCTCCATTCCCCCATCACCTATATCTGGCATTTCTCCCCGTGTTATCCCTCCCTGACCTCCCCATGCCCCCTACTGTCCCTCCCTTCCCCCCCAACAGACCCCAGTGTGTGATGTTCCCCTCCCTGTGTCCATGTGTTCTCATTGTTCAACACCCGCCTATGAGTGAGAACATGTGATGTTTGTTTTTCTTTTCTTGTGTCAGTTCACTGAGAATGATGGTTTCCAGATTCATCCATGTTCCTACAAAGGACATGAACTTACCATTTTTTATGGCTGCATGGTATTCCACTGTGTATATATACCACATTTTCCTTGTCCAGTCTATCATCGATGGGCATTTGGGTTGGTTCTAGGTCTTTGCTATTGTAAACAGTGCTGCTATGAACATACATGTGCATGTGTCTTTATAATAGAATGACTTATAATCCTTTGGGTATATGCCCAGTGCATTTCCCTTGCTGCTCTGTCTGTCTCCTTTGTTTTCTTCTTCACATCCAGGTTAATGAGCAAGTTTATCACCGTCTACCTTATTAGCTCCATTTCCACTGTCCTCTTAGTCTCTGCATGTGGTGAACCTGTTCCCTATCCACCACTCTGTTTGCTTCCCTTTCTTCTTCGTAACCTGACTGCTGGACATTTTTCAGTATCTTTGCTGCATTTGACCCTATTTTTGAACCAAACATGTTGAGAATGGTCATTTGGTTTCCAAATCCTTTCTCTCTGCAGTGTCTCTTTCTGCTGTTTCTTCGTCTCCTGTGAACATTTCTTCCTCTACTCTCTCTTTAAATGGCAGAATTCCCCATGGGTGTGCCCATGTTCCTCTTACCATGCTGAAACACTTGGGAGATCTTATCCCTTCCTATGACTTTACACTCCTTTACTCTGATGATTCTAAAGTTTATGTTTCTAGCTTTTATCTTTCCCTCCATGAGACCATCACAGTCACTAAACTATAACAAATGCAAACAGAATTCACCTCCACCTCTGTCCTGCCTTTCTTCCTGAACTTTCCCATCTTGAGGAATTAAGATGACTGAGACATCAGCATCAGGATCCCTCTGGATTTCTTTCTTTCTCTTACCCTGATATTTGGTCTCTTACCAAGTCCTCAGTGTGTTGCTGTCTCAAGCTCTGTCTCTCCATCCTCACTGCTACCATCTTTGTTCAGTTTTTTTTTTGTGTGTGTGATTTTATCCTGAATTATTGCTAGTATCTAACTCCTTTTCCATAATGCATGAACTTGGCCTTTCTAGAATATATTTCTGCCTTGAGAAAAGCCCTTGCTTCCTAGAAGAAAGAGAAGCACTGGGAACTCTTCGAGCATTTGGTACCTGTCACCTTCTCTCCCTGATGCCTACCATCTCTTCTGAGCTCTGAATTCTGTACATTTGTCCCTGTCTTTCACTGGTTGGGCTTCCTATCTGCTTCCAACACTATTCATTCCCTACAGCCATCTTTTGTTGTGGATATTTTTATTTGTCCTTTAAGACTTTAATCAGATCTGCTGACTTATGCGAAATCCTTCCTATATCTTTTCCCTACCCATCTCACCCCAGACTAGTTTAAGGGCTGCCCGTTTGTGCCTCTCTGCTCACTGGGAATGTATGTTTCTATCACTGTTCTTACCAAACTGCATTGTAAATGGCTGTTTATTTATATATATATTTTTAACTTACAAAGATCTTTAAGTGCTCTGAGGAAAGTAACTGTTTCCTGACTTTTTTTTTTTTTTTTTTTTTTTTTTTTTTTTTTTCCCCCATAGGAAAATGTCTTTTATTGCTTGACATGAAGCATCCGTTCTCCGCGTGCTCAGGAATAGAAGGGCCTCCCTTTCTCAGGAGTCTGAAGTCTGTTCAGCCTCGCGACCCGAGAAGGGGATGGGGGCACGTCTTGCCGGAAGGGTCCCTTGGGAGGGGCGTAACTGGGGTCCTGGACTTTCTTATAAGAGTCATAATTGCTGGGCCCCTCGGAAGGAGCCTGCTTCTTCATCTGCTGCTCCTTCCGTCTCTGTTCCTGGCGGAGGAGCTCCTGCGTTTCCAGCATGACCCTGGCGTTGAAGCCATGTCCTCCCAGGTAGCCATTCCTGGAACCTTGGTAGCTGGAGTACCTGGGGTTCTCTTTGGCACTCTGGAAGCCTTCCCCGGGGGAGTAGTTCTGCTCCCAAGAGTCCTGGGAGACTGAGCTGGCATTTTTCCTGCTTTGCCGGGGCAGAGAGCTGTACTGGCGCTGCGCCTGCTGCGAGCTCTCGCGCTCCTCCTGCCGCTGCCGCTGCATCTGCACCTCCACGGACACCGAGTGCCGCCCTCTCTGCGCCGCCGGCCGCGCGTTCGGCCAGGGTTGCTCAAAGCTGTAAGTCCGTCGACGATCTTCTTCATCTTCATCCTGCTTTGCTTGTTGAAATTCTTGCCTCAGACGCTGTATCCGATCATGGTTGCTAGGAGTTGATCTGTTACTGTCTACAGGTGAAGGTTTGGAATTCCGCGGCTTTTTGACTTGAGCATACAAAGCATCCATCAAATGACCTTCTCGTGGGCTCTGAGGTCTAGCATTGAGAGCCATGGAACCTTCATAAGAAGAAACTCCCCCATACATCAACTCATCATCACAGCCAAACGTCCGATGAAAGTCTTGGATTTCGGCATAGTCACGCTCCCGGGCCTGTCGCTCCCTAAATTCTCGAGTTTTGGCTTGAATCCTCTCCTGTTCCTGCTTCATTCGTATCCTCTCCTCTTCTGACGTAAAGGATTCCTGAATTTTTATCTTACCCGTTTTCTCAATCTTGTCATCTTTTCGATGTTTGCCAAACCCGAACATGTCTCCCAAGCCCTTCAGCATGCCCTTCTTGGCTTTCATTTTATCCTTCTCCTTATCTCTTTCTTCTTTTCTTTTCCAGTTTTATCTTTCTTTCTATCCGTCTTATCACCTTTCTCTTGGTTTCCATTCATTTGTCTCTCCAGAGAGTGGGAAGGCTGATCACTGGCTGTGGACACAGACTCTCTCCCTGATCTTGAACTTTCTTCTGTGTCTTCTTCCAAGGTCTCCATGCCTTCGTCATCATCATCTGCCGCAGGCTTATCATAAGATTTGTCGATGGCAGTTCTGAAGCTCTCATTGCATCCCCTGCCTCTGATCATCCTCGGCCGTGGGCGATGGAAAGGAATATCCCCATTCAGAGTCACCGCGGCAACTGTGGTCTGCAGACTCTCTAATGAGCTTGACTTCTTCAGACCCAGGGAAGGACCCACATCTCTGCTGGGAGAACCTGCTTTCTGGTCATCCACTGTATTGAGTTTAGTCTCGTCAGCTATACCTAAATCCATGCTTTTTGATTTTTGTGTTTTAAAGAAATCCAATTGACTGGCATCCGAAAACTGCTTTGTGCGTTTTTCTGACATACTCTGACGTCCAAATCCTTCTCGTTGAAAAGTAAGAACTGGATCAACATCTGGATTCAAAGAGCAGTCGGCTGAATCACTAATTGCAGCCTTGGCCCAAGTACCAGCATCTGTTGTCACGAACCCCACATCGTCATGGGAGCTGGAAGAGGACTGGTCAGAGAGATGTGGAGGAAGCACTGGCAACCTGTCATCTTCTATAATGACAGTGTCATCTTGGGGCATATTCACTGTAGGGGACAGCTGGTATTTACCCATTATCCTACTGAGGGCAGCATTTCTGCTGGGCGATTCATCAAGTCCCTCAATCCCACCATAGAGGGAATGGGAAATTTTTCGTTCTCTGTCATCCAACGCTGTTTCAATGGGTAGCTCAGGTCCAGGGGGGCTCCCAGGTGACTTCAGCTATTGCACTTGCTTATTCTCCTCACAACAATAAGCTGGATCATTCCTCATTTATTGCCTTCAGTAGACATAGACCTTCTTAGGGTTTCCATGGCATCTTGGTTTGTCTTGCCCAACAGGGATTCTCCATTTACTGCTATCAGTTGATCATTCACCCGAAGCCTTCCATCTTTAGATGCTGCTCCTCCATTAATAATGGACTTGACAAAGATTCCCAAATCTGCGTGGTTCTCTTTTGACCGGTTACCCTTGACACTGACACCAAGGCCGGCAGATCCTGAATCATTAAGTGGGACTTCAAACGTCAGAAATTCCCTGGTGCCATCTGGTGTGAGAACAATATCCTCATCTTCTGCTTTCAGTTCCCTTGGGTGGAAGGCGTCTTCCTGGCGAAAGACCAGAAGGCTCACAGTTCCTTCCATCTTGGTGCTTCTCAACAGGGAAACAACTTCCTCTTGGGATTTGCCCGCTAAATCTACTCCATTTACCTCTGTAAGTCTGTCTCCTGCCTTAAGTCGGCCATCCTGAATGGCCGCCCCCCGGGGGAGGATGTTTTTCACATAGATTGGAGCTGAGCCACCAATTGTTACATCTCTAGAAGTGATGCTGAATCCCAAACCTTCTGTACCTTTCTTAAGCTGGATATTAAGCCTCTTGCCTATTTTTTTGGTGTTATAACCACTGTTTATAGTCGTACTAAATACATTCTGAGGTGCTGGGGCCGGAGCGGATGGCGATTTTCCCCAGGGGTGCGTGCTATGAGGTAGTCAGTCGTGAGTGAGAGTCTATCTGCTCAGGCGGGTGGTTCAATCCGGGTGCTCTCTGCACCGCGTGAAGCCCTGCACTGTTCACACTCCTGTTGTCAATATACTGGCTGTCAGGGCTAAAGCGGCTTGAATAATAATTGTTCTTCTCACTTTGGGATAGTTGTTCGTACTGCTCTTTATTTGCTGCAGGAACCACATGGAACCAAATGATGGGGGTACGCATGGCTTGGCGAAACATATGTTGTGCTTGTTCAAATCTTCTATTGCGAAGGTCGCCATCATTAATCCTGACAATGCAATCATTCTCATGAAAAAAATTTTCATGTTCAGCTTTACCACCTTTCTCCAATCGTTTTACTAATACCCCCAGGGTTCTGCCGCCTCGAGCACTGAAAGGCACTACATGGATTCCCAGAGGCCCTCCATCGTTGGGGACTTGTACGAGCTTTACCGTATCATCCGGAGAAAAGTTGGGTATGTTCTCCAAACCTGTGTCAGCATGTCCAACAGGTTCAACACGACTGCTACCCTCTTCTGTCCCATCCTCATCCTGTTCTTGCTTCTCCAGCCACTTGCCCACCATTGGGTGACTGGCACTCAGAGACGAGCGAGCGTTTTCTCTCTGAAATTGGTTAGACCAGTTACTAGTATCCCGTGGGAGGCTTCTGTAGTTTTCATCTTTCTTCCGGTCGCAGGTTTTAGGACTCCCAGCAGTGTTCTGCTTGAGGAACCCAGCTGTTGTTGACCAGCGTGTGGGATTTTTCCTTGAAGGCTCTTCAGAGGAAAAATTATTATCACTGATAGAGGTGGAGAGGCCAATTAGAGCTGGGTCACTACTGCATCGAACATGAAGAGGCATATTCTGTCTTTATCATCTGCTACATCACAGAGAATGTCATCCAGGTCTAGTATTCCTCCATCTCCATGTTCCAAGCGATGCACCTGTATCCAGTAGTTTGGATCCTTGGCGATGGCCTTCCGGTAGCGGGTCACCGCCTGCTGGATGAGGCTGAAAACTTTCATGTGGCCGTCCCCGCACGGCACGACTACCCAGGTCCGTCCGAAGCACACGGTCACTTTCATGCCGCCGCCGCCGCGGGCGGGCCCGTGCCCCTCCTTTTGTATTCTTTAAACTTAGCACATGGCTTTTTAAAATGAATAAAGAAAACTTAGCAGAGGTTTGGTGATAGAGCTAGATTGGGGTATCTAATCCAGTCTCATCTAATCTAAACATCAAATATTTTGATCTAATTGTTTTAATCTGAATTTTCTTCCAATCATTGTTCCTATGAAAACATTTTATAGTGTTTCATTTATCTTAACCTTATATATTATGGATTCATAGTTTTCATATTTTTTAAATTATACTTTAAGTTCTGGGGTACATGTGTAGAGTGTGCAGGCTTGTTACATAGGTATACATGTGCCATGGTGGTTTGCTGCACCCATCAACCCATCATCTATGTTAGATATTTCTCCTAATGCTATCCTTCCCCTAATCCCCCACCCCCACCAACTGGTCCTAGTGTGTGATGTTCCTCTCCCTGTGTCTGTGTGTTCTCATTGTTCAGCTCCCCCTTACGAGTGAGAACATGTGGTGTTTGGTTTTCTGTTCTTGTGTTAGTTTGTGGAGAATGACGGTTTCCAGCTTCATCCACAGTCTTCATATTTATTTTAAGTGTAGGGATGATACTCCGCTAAATTTCTGTGTAGCCATTTGTTTTCCTGTTCCTCTTTTGCTAGCCACCTTAGTTGTAAGCCTTTCTTTGTTATTTATAAAGCAACTGATTTTACAGTTCTTACAGGGCACTTTTCCCTGTTTTCTGTCAAGTGGGTGCTTAGTGGAAAACCAGGATCTTGCATAAGAGGATGCCATGCTCAAACACAGTCTTCGTTTATCATTTCAATTTCTCTGTTTTATAATTTTAGAATTTTAAATTTTCTTTTTAGAATTATTACGATCAAAGTTACATCAGAAACAAGGAATTAATGCTGACGCATCATCTTGACACTGTTGAGGGAGAGCATGGTTCTTAAGCTTGGACTGGGAGATCCTGTTTCTTGTTGAAATCTGCACTGGATTTCATCTTGGAAGAAAGTGACACTCAGGTTCTACATTCGTAACTCAAGCAAATACCTGTTCTGTTCTCTGCTGCTCTGAATTTTCTCCCATTGAAGTAATTGCTAAGGGAAGGATGGATGTTGGCTGAGATGAGAGTTTTTACCAAAAGAGGAGCTATAAAACCACATAAGGTGGAAGAAGATAGTGCCAGGCATTTTAAGCATAGAAGATACTTTGATATTTTCCAAAGTTTTAAATACATATTGGAAATTCAACAATACCAGAAATAATTAATTGATGGGCAAACAGGAAATAAACATTTCATTATCAACTGGGTATATATTTGCTACAGGGTGATACTCAAGACTTTTCTCTAATATTTTTTATATTATGTATTCCCACTGTTCCATCTTTCTGGTTATTCATCTTTCAGTAAGCTTCGGTATATTGGCAACTTTCTGAAAATGGAGCTCCTAGAGTATGTTATTCTAGATGGGGCATGTTCAGCTCTGAGAAGTGAGTTTATGGTTTTCCTAACTCTGACATACGTGCCTGTTAGTATAGTCAAAACTTGCATTTCCTTTTAGAAACCTCATCGTTACTGAAAAATGCAGTTCACCAATCATTCATGACAATGTTAACTCTGTTCTTTTCAAGGTCGTGCTCTGAGATTTTAAATTTGGGATGACAGGAACAAATCTATTGGTTAGGGGTGAGAATTTCAGGCCCTGTAGGAATTTCAGACCCTGTAGGAATTTCAGGAAGGTGCCATGACTGGGCAGTGAGGGAGTAACTTTTGAATAAACAGGATTTCACCTCTCACCTCACTCCATATGTTTCGTTTACTCAGCCCAGGCAGGTAGCCAACCTTGATTAGCACAACTTGACCTCATGTTGGGCTTCCTAGTCTTTGCTGGAGAAAATCTCATCTCCCTGTAGTAGTTACATGCCCAGTTGGCAATGAATTTTTTTATTACTTGTTAATTAATTCATTATTTCTGATATTATTGCATTTCCAATATGAATCCAAAATCTTTGGAAAGTATCTAGAAGCATTTAATATATTCCTTTATAATTAGACTGCACATCACAAAATGCTAGACTGAATATGATCTAATGTCAAAATATCTTTGGGGGGGGGTCTAGATAGTTTTGAGTATCATGGCAGACATTTCTATCACTTACTGATATTTCTCATTCTCCTTTCCTTCCTGGATCCTTAGAGGGTTATATGCCTCTGTCATTTAAAATTAGGGATGGTCAAATTCCTTCCTTTACCAACAAAATATGAACAGAGACTCACTTTCAGAGAAACAAAATGTTTAAGAGTGGTTTGATTCTCATGGTCTGAACCCTGCCTCAGGAAACTGAAAGTTTCTTGTTGAAAGGTCAGCATTATGGGTAGGCAGACTCTATAGCCTCCCTGTCCTTGAATGATTACAATGAGCAGAGCTCCAGTGCAACCATAGTTGAACAAGTAGCCCTCCTGAGATTCATAGTAGTTACGCATTGAATATTTTTGGGCAAAACTATGCATACATGAATGAGTGTGAGTGTCCCCTAAGAAAATGATGTTTTTTTTTTTTTTTTTTTTTTTTTTTTGGTGGGAAGAGCGTTTTGGAATCTTGGCCCCCATATTGGCAGAGTCTGTATTTCTTTTCTGTAGGGCTAACATTCTAACACTTTCAAGACTTTTCTCTATGCCTGCTCTGTGAAAAATAAGCAGAAGTTTGAGAAAATTGTAATTTTTCTTCAAAAAACTATAAATTTTCAATGTTCACGGCCTTCTTGCTTATGTAGATTATCCTCCAATAAGACGGATGTGAACTGATCCAATTTTGCTTCAAATTATTTTAGAGCAAATGTTTATTCTTTACAACTTATTTTTGAGAATAAAATAAGACTTTTTTCTATTTAAATATGTGTTGTCCTGCTAACAATTTTATATGATGCATTGATTAAAACTTTGCCTGAAATATATGTTTTAATACATTTTGGATAAATAAGGATGCATTTTGCTGTAAAGAAATCACAGAATCTGAGAGTGGGCAGCGAACCTGGGCGTGGCACACTTTCTTCATTCCTTATATAAAGTGGAGAATTTAAGAGGCTTAGCCGAAGTGTTAGAAAGTTCCTAGTTTTAAGAAGAATGCTGAAAATTTAATTGGTGAAATTTTTGACTCAAAAATTACCACGAAATATTTAATTGGTTAAATTTTTTGACATGGAAATGATTAGCATGAAAGACCTTACAATTTTATGAAAAGTTTTTAGCATGTTAAAGTGATATCATCCATTACAGATTTTACCGATGAGGAGTCAACAATAGAGAAGTGAAGACAGCTGCTGCTTCATTTGTTATTTCTTGATCGATGTTTATCAGAGAAATAAATGAATGTTAAATGACTAACATGGGCTTTCTAGCTAAACATGAAAATAAGGAGCAACCGTGGTTTCTCTTTTGAATTTTCTACCATGTTAGTAAATTTTCTACCATGGTAGCGAGTGATGCATGTGTTCTGATTCTATTAATGTCACCTTATTCTCACCACGTCACTAACTGCAGCTGTGACTGGCATCTGGCTCTCCCTGGGACCATTCCAGTCAGAGGTGTAGTCCAAAGAAAACTTCCTGGCTAGAAATATCAGAATAGTGTTTGAACAAATAATTACTAAGAGTCTGCTCTATGCCTGCCTCAAATAGTGCCAGGCATATAGCAGGCTCTCAGTAATTGTTGTCAAAATGACACTTGAGTGTATCTTTAAAGCTTGTCATATAGAAAAGCGATGGTCTATGGAGTATTAATTTATTTGCAAAGTTACAAGCTATGGAAGGCAAAAAAATTATACTTCAAGAGCATGTAGAATGTAAAGGGAAGCAGATTCTTGTACCCTGAAGGAAGGGCACAGAAGAATAGAAGCAAGAGTGGCAGTTGAAGACATTTCTTGTTATATTTTATAAATTAGCTTAATTCTGCAATTAGCAGTTGAGTGGGTGATCCTTCCTTTTTCTCTTAGTTTGATTGACAAGTTTGTACTTGAGCATAGCTGAGTTAGCATTATTTCCAAATGTGTATTTAAAAAAAAAGTAAAACTTTTCCCCCCTTTCATTAGTGTCAGTAAAAACTTATTTTGAAAATCCCAAGAAACTAAACCACTTGAGCAAAATGAAGATTGTGTAAAGAGCCCTTTGATAAACTAATCAACACCTATCCTCTCTTCTTCCACATTGCAAATCCATTCTTTCATCATTTTATCATGTGCACTGAAATGAGATATGAATAGAAAGCTCAGTTTCATTTTGTTTTCTGTTGTTTTAATAGGACACTATGAAGTTAGTGCTTATGAAGCATCTATTTATCTAAGCATTCACCATGGACTCTTCTGGCATCCTTTGATAAAGCATTGTCAAGAGGCTGACATTTGGTGTGCTTAGTGGGTGTGCATTTCTGCAGTTAACTTGCATTCGTGAAAGAAAACAAAGCATAAGCTTTCAAAAAACCTATATCTGGAATAAGAGATCTTCAAAAGAAAGGAATATTTTGATTTTTATTAAAATTACAAAAATTCACAGCCAGGCCAGTTCCATGCAAGTAGACATACCTGTGCCATGTCAAGGTCACTGCACAGATATGCTTATGAAACATGGAGGTGGTGTATAGCAGCTACAAGTTCTGTGTTAGGCCAAGTGGCAGGTTGAAAGAAGTGGATGTTGACAGAGGCCATCGACTCCAATGTTACATGAAGAATTGTGGGTGCCTCCCACATCTCTTCTGCCATGTTTAGACACAAAATAGATACTGCTCTAGGAAACAGCTCTCCAATTTTACAGATAGAGAATTGTAAGTGTGCTGACAATTATTTCATTATATTAGAAAGTAGTTTTATGTTACCTGATGTTGCATCTTTATGCTATTTTAAATAAATGAAAATATTTTATATAGCCAAAGTGAATCATTAGATCCCATTATCATTACGTACATCTTTTAATTTTTAACAAATTCTCGCAAAGAAAGATACAT